CGGCACGTGGGTCCCGCACCAGCTGGATGAAGCGCATGTGCAGCCGCGGGTCCTCGGCCAGCGGGCGCAGCGTCTCCAGCTGCCGCACCCGCACCGTCTTGATGACGCGGTGCCGCCTCTGCAGACAGGACTGTCCGGCCAGCGTCAGGTTGAGCGGGCCACAGCGGCGCACCCGGCAGCGATAACGCTCAAACTCTCTCCGGGCCGGCAGTGTGCAGACGGGCTCTTCACACAGCGCACGGCTTGACTCACGGCGGAACAGTGCAGCGGTGACGTGCTCCTGCGGCCGCGGCTCCATGAAGTCCTCCAGCAGAGAGAAGTTGCACAACAGCAGCTGCCGCAGGACGTCTCGGTAAGCCGGCGCTGCCACGCTCGCGTTAGTGCCACCGCTCTCCACCGTCAGCATGCGCTCCACATGCCACAGCGGCTCAAACAGGTAGAACACCTCGGGGCCCAGCTGGTTGAAGAACTCGCCCACAAAGGAGGAGCCGGTGCGGGTGCCGGCCAGCAGGAGCACATGCCTCTGCCCGGCCGTACTGTCCAGGAGCGAGCCGGTGGAGCTCTGCAGTCGCTCCGAGTCATTGGTGGATGGCAGAGGGGTCAGCGGGGTCACCGGGGTCAGCCTTGGGGTCAGCGGGGTCAGCCTCGGGGTCAGCTTATCAGACACCCTAAACACAGAGCACACCATCAACACTGAAGCGGTTCCTCTCCTCACCACTGCAGTCTTCTGCTCTACACAGTCAGACTGCAGGATTAATGAAGGGTCAGGGTTATTCCTCTGACTTCATCTATTGTTGCTGACTGCTGAACACATTAAAGTCATCCTGTGCTAATCTGACAGCAGAAAACCCAATACTGACAGAACCGAACTGAATCATTTGTCTGAAAGCCAATCGTGCCAATCAACATGAGCAAAGCAGGCGATGACGAAAGCGCTGAATCTAGCCGCAGTGACGGCCTCATCGAGAGCTCGACTGCACCAAAGAGCAGCTCCAATATTAATCAGGGAACCGGGCACAGGGGCCGACCAGACTCATCCAGTCTCTCTCTGACCCGCACCAGATCCTGAACTGAGCATCTGATGTCTCCTCTATTGTGGACCTCTGCATCTGTTCTGGAGACACACTGCAGCAGGGCTATTCGATTAGTTCATCATGGGGGCCGGTTCATGAAGAGCATCCCAAACAAAGGGCCGGAGAGATATGACTTGCTATATGAGTGAAGACACAACTACATATCAGAGCCCGTATGCTGTATTTGTGCTCATAAAGACGCCCACGCCGGCTTTTTCTACATTAATATGTGAATATGTTGTATTTTAAAGCAACTGCATTGTCCAATTGACTTTCTTTTGTTCACAAACATTTAAATGTTGTATTTCCCACAGCAGAAGCAGCGCATTGCTGGAGCAGGCCTCTTCTACATTCACACACACATTCATATGTTGTGTTTTGAACAGCAGAACAATTAGTGATGCCGCATTATAGATTTAGGTTGTCTGATATAGTCTGAAGAATAATCCTGCTTTCACAGTTATCATGTCTAATGTTATTTAGAACAACAAGCTTTATATTAGGGCAGCAGCTATTTAGATGAACTGTTGTTATGATCTGGGTTCATGCGTATATAATCATTTTAATAATAATTCGTCTGACATATCTTTTGTTTGCATTACACTGAAGGACACGCACAACTCTCACCGTCAGATGTTTTCTACTGCGAGCGCACGGACAGAAGCACGTTGCTCCGCTTGTGCGCGCATATTGTCATTCTTACATTAGAAATAGCAAACTTGCAAGCGGAAAAGACGTGATATGGGAACGGCCGCTGCTGTAGTTAACCCGGTGTGCGTGCGTATTAGTCTCGGTGCACATGCTTGGAACTTTAAACTAGCGCACAGTTGCCAACTTGTCATAACTTTTCCGTGCAACAGAAATGCGGCTTAGAGAAGCCTTTACGATTCATTAACTGTGACGAATTAAAGTGCAGTCTATTGTTAATAGTGAAATCAGCTAATCTTTGAATCCCTATTAGTGATTACAGTGCAGTGAGCAAAAGGCATCTTCTACAGAACATCTCCAAATGTTGTCGGCTGTCTGCACCACTCGCTCATGGTGATGCTCTGCGCAGCCTCTGCAGCTAGTGCTGTATTGAACACACGTCACTTCATAGCTATAGCGGCCGTTTTTCGACTGAACTAAATTGATTTGTATGTCTTGGTCACACTATTTGAAGGGCCAGAACAAATGGTCTCGGGAGCGGGTTTGGCCTGATGGAATAGCCCTTCACTAGAGCGTCAGCGTCTGCTGTTTCCTGCTCTCTGATCATCCTCTCGTAATCAAACAGAACTGCTGATGTACTCACTTGGAAATAATGTTGTTTTCCTTTTCTATGATGACCAAAGCCACAATAAAGATGACAGAAATGGTGTATTTAATGCGCATTCTTGTGTGTGTGAGGCTCAGCGGGCGCAGATCAGTCCTTCATCCTCATTCCTCTGATTCACTGCAATAAAGCACACAACACAAGTGTTAGAGTGACACACACACACACACACACACACACACACACACACACACACATGACAGTCGTCTGATGGTTTCTCAGGAATACAGCTTGATTCATTAGCTCAGTGTGCTCGGAGTGTGTTATATGCGCTGCTGCAGGTCAGGAGTATCACAGTGAGGTGCAAACACAGAGGATCAGCAGTAATGACAGTCACTCTACAGTAAACACTGATTACGCCTCGCTGACCGCTGCACAGGGTTACATCAAGAGCTGAAAACTCTGCAGGAATATAGGAGTCATTATTCATATCACCAGCAGAAGCTGAGCTGGTCCTGGATCAGTGCGAATGTGAAACATCACTGATGTAGAATATCCGAGCAGAGCTGAACACCGCTGAGCTGAACTCTCACTAACTAAACACACGAGAACAACCGCGTAAACACTTTGACTATAACAACACGTCTCAAGCCTTCTTTATTGACGGTACTGAG